GCGGGCATTTTTTAAAAATTATAAAAAAAAATTAATTTCGGTTTTTTGCGACGACTTTTTTAGACTTGTCATCGCTAAAAAATAAGAGTATTTGTGACGACAATTTGAAATATGACGAGAATTTTGCAACGACGTATTAGCGACGCCTGTCGTCGCAAATACAGAGTGTCGTCACAAATGTATTTGCGACGACACTATGTCGTCGCAAAAAAACGTTTTTGCGACTAATTTTTTGCGCCGATAAATTTGCGACGACTTGTCGTCGTAAAAAAGTTTATTTGCGACAACATTCGGGTTTTTGTGACGACTTTTTGTCGTCACAAAAACCTCTTTTTCTTGTAGTGTGTCATAATCCTACATAATCACATTATGTATAATAAACTCATTCAATATCCCTCTATATTAATAATGTGATATCATTTCATTCTTAATGAGAATGACATGTATTAGTAATGTTTTAATTAAATATTTTAAAACTTTTAAATCCATTAAAAACATATTTTGATTATTGTCCTTAAATATTAGAATAATCGTGAAATTTTCAATGATATTCATAAAGTTTTAAAAAAATACATGCACATAAAATAATAAAAAAATTATTTTATTAATTAATTAATAATATATTTAATTTTATCACATACTTTATGGACACTATTCTTAACATCCTCGTGGTCAATTGGCACTATTAAAAATGTTAAGTTAATGAGATTGGAAAATTGCATGTCTTTTCTTGTTGGAATATCAATTAAAAATATGAGTGATCTAATTTATTGAATTAATAGCTATTTTGTTTTTGTTTCATCACAATTGAAAACAAGAGTCTTGGCCTCCTTATATAGGCTTTAACCCAACCCCCACTTACTTTGTAAGCAATGTGGAACTTTTATTGCTATTTTATTTTGTCTAAGCCTAACGCTAACGAGTATAATATTTATAATTTAGGCATTTGCATGTGAAGTGGCATCCTACACGTCAATTACATTTGTCATGAGGTGGTCGGATAATGGCTTTATGGACCCGTTAGTGGGTATGAGTATCATTGGCATCATGACTTTGCCATTTGTCACGTCAAGAGAGAGGGAGATATGATTGTTTCACTCAGTCAACCATTTTTCATGTAGTTGGCTGCATTGTTAATAATTAAGTGCATATTATTCAAATCTTGACTTGTACAAAACCTTTGAAAATGTTGTTGGATTTAGATCAAATACACGAATTTGTTATTTTTTTTCTTCTTTTCTGGCTTAAAAGATGAATATTGCTCTTGGGAAGTCTTAGAATGAAGTTTTCTTTTTAGCAATGATTCTTTGCTTATACAGAGAATGATGTTCATGCCATTGAAATTCTAGACGCAAAAATAACTGAAATAGATCATTCAACATCATGTGTGGACAATACACGGACTATATTTTTAGTTTTTCAAACTCTCCAAGTTGTTTTAGCCTAGGCAGAACTGTTGAACGCTTGAATTATGTTTTAGTATTTTACTTATATTTTTGTGGTTTAAGGCTTAATAAGTGTGTGCGCCTCTGTTGCAAGAAGTTGGATACTATGTTTACTTGTCATGAATGGAAAGGGAAATGGAGGAATGTTCCTTTTTTTTCTTTCTTTTTTTATCTATTTATGTGCTTTACTCATAAAAAGTGGAATACTAATTTGGCGAGATGACATGACGTAGGGATTGAAGAAAAAGGAGAACCGATCATAATTTAAGTTTTTACTATAGTATTTTTTCTTATAAAAATTTAAATTTAATTTTTTTTGTTACAATATATTTTATCATATGAATTTACTTTTTAACTTAAATTCTCAACTCAAACAAACGCAATAAACCATGCTTAAATAGCTTGACAATGCCATTGCATTATGAGATCCACTTGTGGAGTCCACGTTGCATCACCTGTAAGTGATGGAGGAAGAAATTCAACTTCTTTAAGAATTCAAAATACTTTTGATATTTTTCCTTAAAGAAAGGGAATTTTTACGGTTTTATCCTACCGCCGCGTATTAATATGTTAACTATTAGATTAATTTTTTAACTGTAAGATTTATGAGTGTCCATGTTGAAAGTTTGAGACGTGCTATACAGAGCTTTCATTCGCATATGTTATCGTTAGAAAGTTAATATAACAGTTAAAACAACAGTATCTGTCGGTATAATAAAAAAAATCAATACCATAAGTACTCCTAAGAAAATAAAAAGAACATCTGATTTTTTTCTTAAGAATACAAAATCATGAATAATTATTGTCTAATTTTAGTGTCTTAATTAATGTTTAACTAATTATATCATATCAGATCGTTTAAAAAATTTAAACTATTTTTTAAGTAATTTTTTTATATTTATTATAAAATAATATGGTATGATATGTAAACTACATCCCAATATGTAAACTCACACGAATATTTTCCACTTGGGGCACCCCTAAAAGAAAAGGTCCAGTCTTCTCACACTTCCTTCTCTCCTAAGCAGCATCCTTCCATTCCACGTGGCCTTCTGCATGTCCTCCAATCTCCACACCTGTCCTCTTCTGCATGTCCTCCCTACAACGTTTCTTCTTCTTCTCTTTTCTCTCTTCTCACTTCTTACTTCTTCAAATCCTAAACTCAATCATCTCTCATCTCTCTCAAACACACAGCCATGGCCGACCGCCAAAACAACAGGCAACCCCAAAGCCGACCGGCCGGCTCATTTCTCCGCAGGCTCCAAGAACATGCACCCAACTCCACCCAGCTCATGGGCTTCCTAACCCTAATCGTCTCCGGCGCAATTCTCCTTCTCCTCCCCGGCGCCACCGTCACTGCCACCGTCCTCGGTTTCATATTCTTAACCCCCCTCATCGTCGTCTCCAGCCCGATATGGGTCCCGGCCGCCTTCGTGCTCTTCTTCGTGGCGGCCGGTTTCTTGTTGTTCTGCGGGTTCGGTGTCGCGGTCGTCGGTGGGCTTGCGTGGATTTACCGGTACTTCCGGGGGTTGCACCCGCCCGGTTCGGACCGATTCGACTATGCTCGGAACCAAATTTACGACACGGCCAGCCATGTCAAGGATTATGCTAGGGAGTATGGCGGGTATTTGCAGAGTAAGGTGAAGGACGCGGCTCCGGGGGCTTGAACCCGGTTTTTCAGTACCGGGGCCGACCGGACGGGTTGGTTTTGTCATCAGTGATTTTGTCCCGCCGGTTTTTCTTTTTTTTTTTTTCATTTAGTATTTTGTTTTAGTCTGTCTTTAATTTGATCACTATCCATGCCTGCAGCCTGGTACTTTTTGTGTTTTTCCCTTCCTTTTTTTAAAAAAGAAAAAAGGAAAAAAATGAAAAGGAAATTCCTCTTTTGTGTTAAAAGATCAGAACTTTTTAATGGGTTTGAGCATTGATGGACTTGGTTATAATTAGGCTTAAAATTTTTTTAAAAAAATTACATATTTTATCTCCTTTAAATAGTTAACTTACTTTTTAGTAACCTCTCTTGAAAAACTCTACCCTCGACTAGTTCTATTTTAAAAGGTAATATATAAGGTAATGTTAATTTAAAAGGTAATATTTAAAATGTAATATATAGGCTAATATTAAGGGTAGAAATAAAGGAGTTCATTTTAATGTCTATTTTTAAAAATTTCTCCTCAAAATATGCATGAATCACAGATTAAATAGCTTCCACGACTTAGTTTTCAATAATGTGGGTAGATAGGACAAATGGTAATGCGATTTCTTTCATTTTTTTTTATTTTTTATTTTTATGGACATTTCTTTCAACTTTGGAAGAGGAGTTGTGATTTTTTAGTTATAGCCAGTAATCCATGCTAAATATTAAGGTTTTTTTTTTTTTTTTCTTTTAGAAATGCATGTTTGAGAGCTAGAACATATACATCTCTCTCACACATAGCACTCTGTTGTAAATTTTAATATAGTTAGGATTAAAATGAATTTCACGTTAGCGTAGTTTTTATCTCACTTCCAATAGAAACGTAATCATTAAAAATATTTTTTTACATATATATGTGGTATTGTTTAAACTTGCCAGAAACAACATAATTAGTGGGATGGAACCGTTGGGCTTCCTCTTCTTGCAAGCTAATTTTTAATGGAGTTTTTACCAATATTTTTCTTTAATAATTACTATCGATCAGAGTTTGTCTATAGAATGATTTAAGTAAACGGATTAGATGGAATCTGATGCTTGTTAACCTTGGGATTTTTTATTTTGCCACTTTTAAATGAATGGAATAACTTTTATCGTCATGAACTTTTGAAAATTTTATTAGTAGCGTACACAAAATTGTCTTCTGCATAGATTATGTTATAATTTAAATATTGTTTGATTCTATTTTTTTGCTAATCATGTTATTTGATTCTATTTGTTTCTTATCTACCGTACTATCATAGATGCCTTGCTAGTAGGCTTCAAGTTAATTTAATTTAATTTTTTTAACCACTAAATTAATGTCACTGGAAATTGTCATCATCATGTATACTCCAATGAAATAATTGTAAATTGGCACTTCTGGGTAACCCACTTTTCTGCTCCAGCCGTAGTGGTAGTCCGCTGTTTAACGAATACGAACCTGTTATGTTGTTCATGGTAGTCTATTGTATTATTATAGGTATTCCCTTGTCTTATCAGCAGTACCTTAATTGTGACACTCACAGTAGTAATTTGTCAGAATAAGCAACAAAAGAAGAAGGAATAAACGTACACACGTAGTAATTTGTCGGAAAAGGCAACAAAAGAAGAAGGAATAAACGTACACACGTACAATTCGAATGATAAAATGACCCGATCAGGTTACTTTATCGGCAAGCGCGTGACAAAATATAAGGAGCTTATGACTTATAATGATCTCAAAATATATTGGTCAGCAAGCTAGGAGCACTTACATCAACACAAAGGTCTTGTTAATTAATCTGAGCACTTGAGCCTAGCACACACAACCCTCAGGCAAGAGTGAGCTCTTTGGGTCGCAGCGAACCCGCAAAATGGCAAGCTCGTTTGGCGCGGTCAAGAACCCGAAAAATGGCAAGCTCATTTGGCGCGGTCAAGCTCATTGTCTTTGCGCTTCCATTATCGCTGCTTGGTCATGGCACTTCTGAGACGGGAAAGGAATTTCACCTAAGAAGATACTGTTGGCAAAACGGCTTACTAAGTCATGGTAAAGGCTCATTTTGGAAAGAGGCTAATTGATTTTTAAGATGGGTCTTGATGGATTTACGTTCTCCATCACGGAAGGAGATCGAAATTAATTATTCATACACTCAAAATAGTTATTGGGTGAATGAGAAGTTTACGTTCTAAGTATGTCATTTAAAGTAGTTAAAGTAGTTGAAAATTACAAAAATCCCACATTGGTTATGAATGAAGTCTTGGTGGTGTTATAACTGATTGTACTTTGAAACCTAAGTAAACATGTATACTATAGAGGTTCTCTCATGTGCAGGGGGGAGAGAAGATGAATCTGTTTTAAGGAAAGCATAGTCACGTACCTCGATATCTTTGCAATTTGTTTTTCAAATTTAGTAGAAAGGTTGAATTTGTATTATAATAATTTCATTATTTTGTTCCTGCAAAAGGTTATCATATATATTGTTTTTTTTTTTTTTTTTTGTATTATCCATATTTTTTACTTTTAATGAACACACATGATTCGTGTACGGGAGAAAATAATTATTTGTAGAACCATCAAAAGGATAATAATTGTCCCTATAACCATCCATTTCGTGGAGCATATAAAAAACTAGGTTGATGGATATAGTGGGATTTTATGTTTATTTCCTTTTCCATTTCAAAGTGATCAAAGGCTGAGAAATTAGGAAGTGTATCATCTCTAATTAGGTCCTTCGATTGAGGTACTCTGCATTTCTGTCACCTCTTGAATTAGTTCTTCTTTAGTGACTTTTTTGGCATTTAATTGAGAAAACCGACAGTAAGATGGTAGGCTACAACAAGTAGTTGAAACTTTCAGCATCACTGTAGAGTACAGATGATGTCCAATTGTTAGAGCAAGTTGGAGACCAGTGTTTTGTAGCTATAAAGTATAAATAGGTTAACTTTCCCCTTGTGTTTTTACAAGACAAAGTGAAGAGAGCAATAAAAGTAGAAGAGTGTCGTGTGCTCAGAGCTAGTTTTTAAACTGGTTATTTTTATAATCTCTCTCAAAGAGAATTTGGTCTTTCCTAAAAGGACTTATTTATGTAGAAGCCAAGATGTGCAGTAGGTGTTTTATTTAGAGTCTGTTTAGTTCGTTGATTCGAGTTGAGATGTGATTTTATGTGAGAGATTCTTACTGTAGTAAAAAAGTTAAATGTGACTATTTCTGAAAATTTTTTACTGTACTAAAACTCGAATCGATAAAATAAATAAGGCATAGAGCCTTAGTACGTAGTGATTTTTTTTCTGTTGTAGCTTCTTTGTGTTGATGTGACTATTTCTGAAAGATTTTTACTGTACTAAAACTCGAATCGATAAAATGAATAAGGCATATATTGTGTTCAACAACACTAGTATTAGAGCCTTAGTACGTAGTGATTTTTTTTCTGTTGTAGCTTCTTTGTGTTGTAAGTAGTTCGGCCTTCGGACACTATAAATTTGTTGTCAACTTGTTTGATATTACCAAAATCTTGCCGGTACAATGGGTGGCGTTCAAGTTGTTTGAGGGGTAAAGAAGTCAAAAGCAGAATTAATACATGGTGGACGACGTGTACGGAGTCTTATATGCAAGTACAAGATGTTTAGAAAATTGTATGGGAAATGAAATTACGGTCCCATAATAGTTACCAATGTAAAAAGGTGAAAGGTTAGAGTAGGGAACGCCATGTTTCATATCAAGATTATATAGGAAGAAATGTCAGAACATATAAGGAGAGGAGAAACACCAAAAGTATACACCAAAAGTATCTTGGTATACTTTTAAATCACTTTTCTCAAGAGGAAGGACACAAGATTACCCCCAGAGAATGAGTTATTAGTGTTAAGCTATACTTGAAACCCGCATGAAATTAGTGGGTTTGAGTCGTAATCATATTGACACAATTAATAAATAGGTTGGGTTAGGGTTGAACTCTTAATACGAAGTGACATCTGCAATCTATTGATATGTGATATAACGTGAAAGTTTATATGACATATTAAATACAAATAATATGAATTTTAATTTAAAAAAGTTCATAAATATATTTTTTTAAAAATTACATATTTTGGTGGAAGCTGGGAATAAAGATAATTTTGTGGGACAAAATGTTTGAAACAAATAATATAAAAATGTTAAAAGCAATAAGGTATTTATTCATGTTTTCAAATATATCCCTTTCAGCTTTATTTTTAATTATTTATACCAAATTGAATCTCTGAATTGGAACGAGTCCATTGATTGATCCATTTTTAATTTTGGACTATATTCACTGGCTGACTTTAGTTCATGACTCTATTTAGTTTATATATTACTCTACTTTCATCCATCATTGGATGATTATTAGATTGATCTTCTCTCTGTGTATTAATTCAATCAAAACATTTCAAATTATCGACATTTTAGGATAAATACCTGGATTCTTCAGCTTTGATGAAATTGGACTAATTTGCCGTATTCTTCTTGTAGTTTTCGCTTTATTATATTCGTACTTATGTGTTCCGATTTTGTCAGAATATCCTATTATTCAAAAATATCATTCTAGTACTTACCAAGTGTTTTTGTTTTTTGGACAAAAAGATATTGTTTTTTTTTTAATTAAAAGTATTAAAAGAGAAAAAAAAAGTAAAGAAAAGAAGAAACCGAAACATGGAAACTCCAAAGATGAAAGAAAAAAAATCCAAATAGGCCATAGGAAGGAAAGAAAGAAAGGAAAAACAAAAAACCAAAAAAAGACCCATTCAAATGGGTCTTTGGGGAAAAAAAATCTCGATCCAAATAGGCAATTTGAAAGAATTTTACAAAAACTTCAAATTTGATTTGGGTATATTGCACATTTGTCTCTAAACTTGTAAAGCCTACTAAACTTTAAATTTGAACAATTTGTCCCTCAAACTTGCAAAAATCTTAAGATTGCCATATTTTGATGATAAATATATAAAACAATGACGGGAAAGCACATTCAACGAAGAATTCTAATATCCTAATTCTAATTATAATATAAATCTCTCAATTCTCAGTGTCTCAATTCTTTAAATATGATAAAAAAAAATTATTAATAAAATGAACACATTTCATTAGTTTTACAAGTTTAAAGAATAAATTGTTAAAGTTTAGAGTTTTGAT